AACGTGTATTATATAAAAACGTTGCTAAGTGTATGTAATAAACATTAATTTCGGCTCACCCATTCCGTCGTAATATGTGAAACAAAATCGGCCGTAAAGGAGATCCTACCACAGCCAACTCGCATCTTTTTGCGCGCGTTGAACATCAGCTGGTTTAATATGTAATATGTTTCGTCCAAATTAGAGTTTTCATGCAGAAACATAAAATTTAATTACATTGCTGACATTTTAAAAACTAAATATATAACACCCAAGCAGTGTTGCCAGAACTATCTGGACCAACCGGCTAAATTGGCTAAAAACCGGCTAAAAACGGCTAAACTGTTTCAACTAAATTTCACATGTTTTATTTAAAGAAATCATAAGTAAAAAGACAAGTTCTTGGAGAGAAGTTGCGAATTCAAGCTGGAAAAACTTTTTTCGGCAAGAATTTGCAATTAAGAAAAACATATGATTCTGGCACATGGTTGCATTTTTTGTCGACAATAATTTGAATAAATAGGTTCGTCTTATTTAAAAATTTACAAACTTGAGCGATTTTAAAATGAATGACTTGTTTACTTAATTAATTTAGTTAATTCCAATGATTTGAAACGTACTCGTAATGCAATCTCAACCGGAGTCGATATAGGAAACGCGACAGTTAGTACGGCAAAGAAATTGAACCGTATGTCGAAGAAAGTCGGACTAGCCATAAATATACATGTAGATCCTGTTTTTTGTCCCTCTGAAAGAATTTTAAAATTCTATACAAATTTCTTATCTTTTAAATCCACCGTGGACACTAGCTGGCAGAGAAACTTGCAAGTTCCTGCAATTTGCGTGCGTGCAGAGATTTGCAAGTTTCGCTACTTGAGAGAGAATTTGGGAGCATTTTTTTCTTACTAACTGATATTTTGAGTGATAATTTTCGCTGGATTTTCGACGAACAAGCCTATTGTCTTCCTAAAGAGCTTTGCTTTACATAGAAATTTGTCCTCTTTTACTTTCATTTTTACGCATTTCAGTGTTGGTTCTTTTAACTCAAGTTAGCCTTCGGTTTTTAGAATTCAAATAAGTTCTCAGGAAAAAAGTTAGTTTAAATAAATCCATATGTGCACATAGTGCTTGAAAATATCCATTTTTCCCTCACCTTAAAACTTTAAGCGTGGGCAACAATGATGTTTTGTAATTAAGGCAGAATTGAATATGCGCTACCTGGGAAGACAATACCTGCAACATTTATTCTTGGCACTATATCCAAACACATACTACGTTTATACGCACGTATTATTTGCAAATAACAATTTACAAATGGTAAATTTTGCCGTATAAACGCTGAGTTAGTTTTTTATTTGCAAATAACTAAATCACGCGAATAAGTATTGATTAGTGATACTATTTGCAAACAAGCGCAAGACGCCGCCATTCTTAGGTTTATTTTCTTTTTAGATGGTCATCTTATTGCCTTTTTATAATCGAGACGTTGCCATTTTTAACTTTATTTTGTTTTTCGATGGTCATATTATTGCCTTTTTATATTCAGGCAATATTAAATACAAAATTTTCGCCATCGAATAAACAGTGAGTTAGGTATTTGCAAATTATTTTTATTTGCAAATAGCTTACGTATAAACATGGTAACAAACGGGTGTTAAGCAAACAGTGAAAAAATTTGTCATCATCTAAATTTGCGAATAAAACTTCACACTTAAATTTAAGTCATTGATAACAAACATTTTATGAAGAAAATCCCCGTTACGGCCTTAGAAGAAAAAAATATTCGTTTAAAATAAAAATAAGCGAAATCTGCCCAATTTTATATAACCCTGCCTCCGCGATAACGCTAGTAGCCATTTCTAACAGATTTTGGATCGCTTAGTCAAGAATGGAAACATATATATTTGAATTTTAAGAAAACAAGGCAAATAACAAAATCGGCTAAAAACGGATAATTTTTTTTTACAAAACGGCTAACAAATCCGCTTCCGGCTAAACCGAAATTTCTCCGGCTGTTTGCTATCGCAACCGGCTAGATCTAGCCGGAAAACGGCTAAAATGGCAACACTGCACCCAAGGCACATAAATACATGTAGAAGCCATTTTGACGTTGCTCTCCTGAGAACCAAACTTACAAACTTCAACTTGTTTTGTTTTTATTTTTCAATATGTTGTTACTCTTAGAATGACATGTGCTTTTGATTTGAATGTTTGTTAATAGCACATTTTAATTAAAATTTGAATTTTTGCAGTGCTGTGCAGTTTACTTTGGTGTATAAGTAATTGTGCTGTTTATACTAACGTGTAATAATTAATCTTATCTCGAACATACAAATGTACACATATCAAAAATGCAACACCTGAGGGGCTGGTTTTTATGAGGTGTCAAATATCCACTAATTTTTTAAACGTCTCTCTATGTGTTTCGCGGAAGGAGCGTTGGGAAAGCAGCTGTGATGTAGCGCTACCGGAAAGACCCTCCAACAACACTGGAACACATCAATCCAGTTGTGATGGCTTAATAAAAGATAAACCAATTTACATTAAACAAAATTAATAAATAAATATATATTTAAAGTTTATTTGAAAACGTCAGCCAGTGAAATATAGTTTTTTGTTTTTCCTTACACACGCTCATTCTTATTTTAACTCTCCTGAAAACCTTGACTTTTGAAAGTTTGACGTCAAATTGGCTTCTACCTATTTTTAATGTACCTTGTATAAAATCCACAGCAATTTTCACAAGTAAAAAGCGATACAAAGTTGTTTTCTTGGTGTTCATTGTGGCATACCTTTTGCGTCTGCCGCTTTGCTGGAAAAGTTATATACTACATTTTTACGTGGGCTAATTCACGAATTCTTTTCATGAATTTGGGTTAAAATTGGCTGCGTGCACACCTTTTCATGAATTCAGTTATACACGAAAGTTAACCATGAATTCAGCATAATTTCATGAAATCGTGAGGTTCCAGTCCGGGAAGGCCACGTTCCACAAACAGCTATGCAATTACTAGGGTTATGACGTTTTTATATTAAAATGCATGAGTGCCGTAACCAGAATTTAAATCAATGGAAAATATATGTGGAACTGTTCATATATAAAATAAATTCAAAACGAATAAACTGAAAATATAATAAAGCCAATTTAAATATAGTATTGTTCATTGCCTGGTACCAACGGGTTTTGCAAATTCAAAAGGAGGCCAAAAAAGTCACAATCGTACTGTTTAGTTTCTCGCCAGTGCATTGCCACTGTTTCAAAGCATTTTGTTTCACGAATTCGCGAAATATGCATAAACGGGACCATTTTTGTATTTATAAAATGAAGTATTCATGAATTCTGTCGCATAAATGTAGTAATAAATGCCACGCAAAGCCACGAAGTCTCATCTGGCATCAGATTTACATAATCTTTAGATTTTAATGTTTTAAAAACAAAAGAGAAATTTTTTTCAATGAATTTTCATGATAGTAAAGCATTTTGTTTTATTCTGAATGAAATTGTTGTTCACAACTAAACTTAAGTGCCATTTAAATAATCAGTGCCATTTAAATAAAATGCCATTTAACTTTCGCCCTTAGGGCCAATTTCAAATAAATTTTTAAATGGCACTTAAATTTAATTGTAGATTGTAGTTTAAATGTCATTTAACTTTCGTTGGGTTTCAGATCAACTTTGTTTAAATATGCCAAACAATTGGCAGCACTGCTGCTTGTTCCTTGAAATTGTTGTTGCATTTGCTTGTTTGTTTACATTTTGTGCTAAACAGCTGATTGTTTTTTGGTGGGATATGGTGGGATTGATTAAACAACCTACCAATCAATCTTGGTTGTTTGTAGGAATTTTCGATATTTAAGAAAGTATCGATATCATGAATCGATTTAATTCATTTCATGTTAAATCGATATAGCGATATATCGGGCTGCACAATATCGATATCGGAAAAATCGATGTTGAAAATCCTACTCCCAATTAGGAATGTTCGATATTGTATCGATTATTCTGAATATCGATATTTCATGGCACGATAATCGATTTTTTGAATCGATATCCCAAGGTCGATATATCTAAGACATCGATACTTTACCCGCGATATCGATATTTAAGCCGAAATTTATTTTTGATCTACGAAAAAGTGTATGGGAAAATACTAAAGTAGGTTTAATCAGCAGCTAGAGTGATTTATTTAGCTCTTGAGTTTGACAATCCGCTTGAGTCGACCGGCATGCCGTTATAATCCAAGAATGATAGAATACAACATTGCGCCGATTGCAGCAGAATTCGTGAGAGTAATTTTAGCGTGACGTCATCGTAGAGTTGACAACTGAGAGCGGCGAGAATGAGGGCGACTAGTGATGTGCTGAATTGTCCCCAATACTCGGTACCCAATACTTAAAAAAGATTTCGGTTCCCTATACTTCCTTTTTGGTATCCGATACCGATTATTTACATTAAACCCTCGCCATTATATGCATTTCAGGTTTAGAAAAAACTTTCATTACTAATTTATATTATATCGGCTAAAACATTTGAACTTATCGCCACAGAAAAATACTATTTTATCAGTTTTAACCTTAGTCGATCCAAGCTTCAAGAAAAATGTTTTGACGGATGAAGAAGCTTATCAGGGGGGTGATCTAACCAGTTAGCGACAAGTTTCGGATCGATATCGTACTTGTTGGTGTAACAATATTTCATATCATAGGTCAACAAACCCGATACCGATTCGAAAATTGTCGCTAACTGGTTATAGAATCTGCCCCTAGGCCT